AGACATTCACACACTCCCACCACAATTCACTGTCCCTTCAGTAATTAAAACACAACAGTTTGTGGTTGTGCACTATGAAGTGAATGACTGAAATAAATTGGAATTGAAAACCAAAAAATCTCTGTAAGAGTATCCAGCTGGCATGAGAACCTTTAACCACTGTTAACCAGTGAGGGAAGATCTACAACTTAGGAGCATATCTATGCTTATCCATGCCATGTTGCTCAGGGATACCTAGCTAGTGCTAACTAAAGTAGCTCCAAAACTAGAAGCAGTGTAGCTGCATCAGAGTGATGTTGTACCCTAGATACTTAGCCCTGTAAATAGGACAAGAGAAGGACAAAAAATACCGTGCTGCATTCTATCAAAATTCCTTTGAGATAACTTGAAGTAAAGCTATGAATGTGGCTCATCAACGCTCCCACCAGACCCACTGATTGGTAGGAGGAGTCAGGCCAAACACAGTGGTGTGCTAATTCTGCTACACACCTTCCGGTCCATCGGGCAGCATCTTATCCTGGCTCTGGGCTGTGCTCTTTGCATAAATAAGCTGACTGAGGAATCGTTGATATAGCACTGCATGACATGGTGTAAAAATATCCTGCTCTAAATCAGTGGAGAGAGCAATGGCAACTGTTGGGAATGTCACTTCTGGTGTTCTGGATCATATGGTATAATATAGCTCTTCACTATCAAGGATCACAGTAAACTAAACTGGTTAAATACGCAGTGGGCCTCAATTCAAGTAATGTTATGAGATATCACTGCACATAGGGTTGATGGTCATAGGTCCAGATCCTCACCTGTTATAAGTGAGCATCAGTGGAATTGCATTACCTTGAAGTTGTCTTGATTTACACTTGTAGTGTGGGTGTTCCTTTTTTTAATCTTTCCTATTCCTTTTCCCATCATCTATGTTTTTAATATCTTTAGTTTGGCTATCCGCCCAACTCTCTATCTCTTTATCTATTCACCTATGTTTCAGCATTAAATATTGTTACAGGTTGAGAATTAACTTAAAATTTAAACCTTGGAAGATAATGACCCCATTATGCAAGACACTGTTTAGGCCTCATCTAGAATCAGCAGGAGCAGAATATGTTAGATTGGAAAAAGACTTAATGAGGAGAGGCTTAATAATGTACAACTACATGAAAAGCTAGTGGGGGAAATGAAGATGTGAACCAAGAATGACCTCACTTTCATTGCTATCTTCAAATACAAATTATATGCGTAAGCTAAAATGATGAAAACAGACGTGGAAGGGAAAGGAGAAGGGAAAAGAAAGGATTAAGATCTGTTGAGACAGAAATAGAGGTCTGAAAACTTTGCATATGATGCTTATTATTCATATTACTAACATGTAAAATCACTGTATTATATCAATTCCTCCTCACACTGAACAGGAAAATGTTGAGATGTGAGGGACAAGCCCAGTACAAAACATTTGCCATCTACAAATTCAGCACTATTTTGCTTGGTGATGCTGCTCAAAACAAAAGAAATGTTTAAAAACCTTTCTGCTGTTTCTAAAAGGCTTTTAACAGTGCTATCACCATCAAACAAATTATGTCTTTCCTCGCTATCTGGAAGATACAACTTTATAACTGTATTAAAAGGCTCCTGTGAAACGATGATCCAGAGTAGTGTCTAAAAGCATTTGTAAGGGCATTCTTTCATTCTGTGGTATTACATACTCAGGGCACTGTTTTTGACAGGGACAAATGGAAGATTACATTTTGATGGCCAAAGATACCTACGGAAAACAACAAAGAAAATTTTGCAATGCCTTTTTCTTCAGTATATCACAGTGCTTTGTAGTGAGAAAGAGCAGTTTTTAAGAGTAAGATGCAGAAGAGAGTAAGTATTCTTAAAATCTACTCCCTTAAAAAAGGGAGCAAGTATTAACAGTGGAATATTTAGATAAAGGAAAACAAAATGGTATGGACTTTCAGATCTGTAGCAGTGTTTTTGAAAACTTAAGAATTAGCTAAGAAAAGGAGGAAGAAAATTAATGTTCTGTATTCTACCGCAGGGAAAGCATCAGATGAAAAAGGAGGTATCTGCCATTTTACTCCTGACCAGCAATTAACCAGCTGCTAATCCCTGCAACCACACTGACAGGTTAATCGAACTTACAAGAACTCCTGGACCTCTTAGTCTTTGCTAGTTTCTTCTGTAGTCAATGTTCCCACAAAGCACAGACTTATATTCTTGAATTGCTTCCCTTATATCACAGTACTTGTGCTCAAGTTTTAAAAAAGTCTCAGTCTCTATGGAAATGAAAAGAACATGCCTTACACCTTTCCATCATCATGCGCTCTATTTATTGTAAGGAATTTCACCAGTGTCCACTTTCTGAACATAAAGAAATATACATTTTTTTATATCTAAGACTATATCTATATTTACATATATACAAATGGGTATATATGTAGTAAAAGATACGGATAAAGCACTTCTGAAGACCAAATATCTACCAGAAGATGAGGAGATATAACTAAATTCAGCAAACTCGGTCATTCACTGTTCCATGAAGAATAGTATGGCTTGATTTCAGCAGAGAAATAGTGGAACTATGCTGAAAAATATAGAAGACTAAAGAAAGATTGAGCTGTGTCTTTCAAAGAGGGACAAAGAACACAGGAGAGTGAGTGAGTATTCATCCAAGTATGGAAAGATCAGACTCGGGCAACTTCTCACACATCGTAGCATTGGAAAACATGCCCCTTCAGAATCTCCCTGGCTTTTGAAGTGACTTAGATGCTGAAGAACATCAGGTACCATTAAGATGTGCTTCTCCAATTTTCTTATAGTTCTGTGTTCTGTCTCTTCTAATCAGCAAAATTTCTCAGCCAGTTATGGACACAGGACAGCAGGTTCCCATCTAGACACATTGCAAATTGCAGACACTATCTCTGAAGTGCGGCTAGTACATACCGATCCCTTGCTTACGCAATGCAGTCTAATCTAGATCACAGTAGCAAATGTGTGGGCTCTTGAACACTGGAAATAATGCAGACAAAAAGAACGGAACATGGAACAGCCCCAGAGGATACACAGATTGTATAAAATTTCCATTTAAAAAAAAGACAAGAAATTCTGTAATGTAAAGCCAGATTGTCCCACACAGTTTAAACATCTGAACCTAATAAAAAACTAGAAAAGGACATCTAAAGTCAGCTGTAACTAGAAAAAAAAACAAACAAAAAGCCTTCAGCCAACCTTCTGTAAACAAGATCAGACCATGATAAGGTATACAGCCTTCTAACTGCTCATGTTATGTGCCTGAGCTACAAAGCAAGGGCCAAATTGTTAGTCTGTTACTCCTCTTGGAAAGCACTTTTACCCACCGTGACGGCACAGTAGAAACCTTGCCTTCAGCACAAGGGGTGTGCAGGCGTAGTGAGTATTCAGGTTGTTTTTCTCACTGACTTCAAGAGCAGACAAGATTTCACCCTTTGTTTTCAATTTGTATAACATCATACTGTGCTTAAATATCTACAGGGTGAATCTCAGCCTGATATAGTTTCAGTTCCTTCAGGAAAATACAGCTATATTGTCCTTAGCAAGCCACTCTTTGGAGGTGTCATATAACATCTGAAATACAGCATTTTAAGGATTAGAGGGAAATGTCACCCACAGGGCACAGTGATGCTGAGAAATACAGAAGCCACAGCTCCTCGCAGAGGAACAAAGTTTAAATAAAGATACAACAAATCTGAAAATGCTGGGTCACTGTAAACTGAGAAAAGTCAAGCAAACAGGCATGGGTCATGCTTTACTTGCAGCCCTACAAATGACATCCAGTAAACATCCTTCAAACAACAGTAACTGTAATCTGCTTTGCTAAATATTCAGTGCATATATTTCCTTTAGAAAAAGAGACATAAAAGCAGAGGACATGCTTTTGTAACTGAGCCATTTTTTCTTTTCTGTCTAGCCATATATTTTCTGTAGAGCTTGGTGGCTCAAATTCAAAAATAAAATTCAATGAGGACCAGTAATTGCTCAAATTTTTCATAAAGATTACTGCCGTTCTGCATAGGTCCTCAAACAATTATAGATCCTCAAAGGCTTATAGGGCGTTCCTAGAAAATAAGGATGGAAATATGATCAAGACATTTAAAAATAACCTTTGGTAACTTGGAGGTCTCTTTATCTTAAAACCACTGTGCAAGCAGTAAATAATTGTTACACAAGGTTGTATTTTCCGTAGCAAATGATGTCTCCAGTGAATGTATCTTGGTTTTGCTTCTGTGTTATTCAATAATCAATCCTAACTGCTGTGATTGTATCCCTTACTCATAGGTACAGTCCACAGATCTATAGCCTGAAAACTGTTGGGAAAAGCAGTATGCTGTTTGCAAGCTATTGCCTTTGGTCAATCCCCCCGTATTATTTGCAGTAGGCACTTGGGTCACACGGTCCCGTGTTTGTTGTCTGGCTGGATGACTTTGAACTTTTTAAACAGGAGGATAATGAATAAAAAATGACAGAGAATAATGCAGAGCAAATGCTATTCCATCTATGCTAGCTATTTTGAATGTGAAAATCAGAAAGGCAGCTATGTTTCAACTAATTTACATTTTGAAGACTTAACAAATTACATGGATTTCAATTACACCTTCTTCCCTGAGGAGAAAGGATATAATATCTATTTTTTGGAAAATATTTACTCCCATTTAGGGCTGACCTATAGATAAAAGGGCTTCATTTGTACAAAAGAAGCATGACCAACGCTCATTTTTCTCTTCAGAAATCCTACACCTTGTAGAATCATTTTCTTGTTCTTCTTCAGACACTGTGAAGTCTACATTGTTCAATGCCACTTCTCACCCTTGAAGACCTTCCTTCTAGTTAAACTTTATATTAACAACTCAATGCAGACAGGTTTTCCTACTTTCAGTTATACAAACTTAGTAACTCAATGGCTATATGCACATTAAGTTACCTAGAACTTACTGGAATTTGCCTGCACAGTTTCAATGGATACTCACACTTGCAGAGCTATGCTGAAGCTTCATTCACATTCCATATATTCTTGCCTGGTGAAAAAATAGTTGCACATGCATGTGATTGCTTCTTTGGATCCCTTTCAAAGCCTTCTTTAGGAATCTGAATACGCCCTTCTGTGGGAAAATCTGCAGAAACAAAAAAGGAATGAAAAACTCTTTAAGACTGTCCTTCCTCCCAGAAGTTTCTCAGAACTTGATTGAGGGCTTCAGATACAAGAGATCCTAAAAGAGCCGGAAGGATCAAAGCCCCCAGCATCAAAACATTTTGGTTTCACCTTTCACTGCACCTCCTACTTCTAGCCACTGGTGTAGCAACAGTAAAGCGTGGAGAGGGAGGAGATGCTGCTCCCAGAAAGATGTTTAAGTGGGAATTGCACTGCGGAGGGAGCCTGACTGAAAAGTTTATCTCAGTTATACTATTTTTCTGCTTTGATCCCTGCTGGGAAAATGGGCACCTTTCACTTTCTCAATTTCTGCCATCCCAGAGAAACTGCGGAATGTCCCGAGATACTAAAGACGCTGATCTGTACGCACATATGCTCAGAGCAGAAGTCAGCAGATATTTATAGCAATTCATTCACTGGGAACTCATACTCTCCAAAATCAATGTGACTTACTGCTGTGTAACTGAGGGTAGAATTTTACTCATGATGATTCATTTGTATGCCACTTGGCAGGATTTTGTCAAAGAGTAATTGAAAAAAGTGGTTGTTTATTATGCATGCATAATACTGTAAATATCACAGACCATAACGTGAAAGATATCTTTAAAATTTTAGTTTTAAACCACTGCATTTTAGGCTCAGTGAAAGGAGCTGGAGCATATTTGGTGGTAACATGAACATTTTCATTAGAAAAGTAGTTTATCTTATGCTTCCTTTTATACCTAGATCAAAGAAGCCAGTGATGTACCTCATGATTCTAAATCAGATTATGTTTGTCCCCAAGGTTTTCACATATCCCAAGAGAACCTGCAATATGCATCTATTGCTGTAGAGATATAAAGCATAGTAAATGGATCTTGCTATACTAGGTATTATAAATCATAGCTCCTCCTGTTTAACAGATCTGTATGAGAGTGTCTGTGTTGACTTACAAATGATGCCCAGGAAAGTGCATACATGTTCTACCTGCTTATGAGCTGAATTACTGAAAAGCCCTTGGAAGATTAGTATTTCTCAGACCATACCTAGCATAAAGAAATAACGAGGAAGAGGTCATACCTTTTCCCTGATGCTTGAACTGTAGGTGTTCGTGTTTTTGCATTTTGAAGGAATGATGAAAAAACAAGCAACTGTTCATACGTTGTTATTAATTATTTACAGCAGAGTAACTATCCCACATCTCTATGAGCTAAATCTATCCAACGTGCAATTAATTAGATGTGAGGATCAAAGTTGCTTGTTCCTTTTGATGTATTGTAATATATTTCTAAATGTTCTATCTTTTATTTTTATGCCAGCAAAGAATAATAGAATGTCACGTGACGTATGACTGTAGAAGTTCACACTGAGTTAATACAATACATGAAGAGATTGAAACTAAACAACAGATTTTGCACTAATTTATTCCTTATGTAATTTATATAAAATTAAGGTAAATAAGTTCATTCAGAAGGCCATATACATTTCTTTCTGTGGACCTAGTTTATGGGTTAGGATTGTCAAGGCCATTTAAAGGACATGGGTGCTCAACATGAATGTAAAATAAACAATAACTGGCTATTCAAGTAATCTCTGTTTTTTTGCTGGAAAACTTAAAACATCACAGCTTTACTGCTAGCCCATCTTTTTAATATCAAGAAAGGGGCATATTGGTCCAAGTGGTTCTCATTACATGGAATATGATTACAGAAAATCTCTTCATGGCAGCTCTTGCTTTGCAGATGTAGGGGTGTGCTTGGGAAGGCAGTTAGTATTGGGGGTATCTGTCTTAAAAACAATCTCTTTCTATCTAAGTTCCTAAAACAAGAATATAAGAATGGTCATAATTGATCCATCTAGCCCACTGTCCTGGGTTCTAACAACAGACAACAGAGATGCCTAGGGAAGAACATAAATATGTGGAAAGCACATAGAAATACTTCTCCCGGGCACTCATCCAACACTTTGTCTTGGGCCCTTCTTTCAGCTAGAAGCGGTGTTCTGGTATTCAACAAAAGTTCCATCAATTAAAGTAAACTTCACAGTTACGCACAAAAGTGTTATCTCTCTTCATTATTCTACTGTTTGACCAGTAGTTAACATCCCCGAAAAGCTGTAATTTTAGGCTGTCTCCAGACTCAGACAAACACCACTGAACTATTTCAGGCTAATATTTTGAATATTAGCTGTGCAATCTGTAAATGTATTTCAGGCCTAGTTGCATTTACAGATGTGGATAGGTAAGTTTGGTGGCAACTTACCATTTGCATTAACTTTCTGAAAGAGGTAGATGCTTAACTTCCTGTGACACTTCTGAAAGCACCAATGAAAATTTAATCACATTTTCTGTCACACAAATTACCTTTAGACCTCCTTTCTTAAAATCTTAGATTGTAGCGTGCTAGAAGGTAATCTCCAGGAAATTGTGCTTGCTTGCTGAGGTAGCCCAGTTTAGCTGCTACCTTTGCATATTTCCTTTTTAAGGTCAGTCATAAATGGTACTTGATATTTCCCTAC